GCTTCAATTCTTCGATCACCATCACTGAGACCACATCCCACAACACTCCAAACTTCGCTTCTTTGATCACCACCATCGAGACCACATCCGGCAGTACTCCCAGTTTCACTTCTTCAATCACCACCACTGAGACCCCCTCACATAGTACTCCCAGCTTCACTTCTTCGATCACCACCACCGAGACCATATCCCACATCACTCCAAGCTTCTCTTCTAAGATCACCACGACTGAGACCACCTCCCAGAGCACTCCCAGCTTCACTTCTTCGATCACCACCACCGAAACCATCTCACAGAGTACTCCCAGCTTCACTTCTTTTTTCACCACCACCGAGACCACATCCCACAGTACTCCCACCTTCACTTCTTTGATCACCACCAACGAGACCTCCTCACACAGTACTCCCAGCTTCACTTCTTCAATCGCCACGACCGAGACCACCTCCCACAGTACTCCCAGCTTTACTTCTTCAATCACCACCACAGAGACCACTTCACACAGTACTCCCAGCTTCACTTCTTCAATCACCACCACCGACACCACCCTACCCAGTACTGCCAGCTTCACTTCTTCAATCACCACCACCGAGACCACATCACACAGCACTCCCAGGTACACGTCCTTGATCACCAAAACCGAGACCACCTCACATAGTACTCCCAGCTTCACTTCTTCAATCACCACTACAGAGACCTCCTCACACAGTACTCCGAGCTTCACTTCTTTGATCACCATCACCGAGACCACATTAAACAGTACTCCCAGCTTCACTTCATCAATCACCACCACCGAGACCACCTCACACGGTACACCCAGCTACACTTCTTCAATCACCACGACCGAGACCACCTCCCACAGTACTCCCAGCTTTACTTCTTCGATCATCACCACAGAGACCACTTCGCACAGTGTTCCCACCTCCACTTCTTCAATCACCACCACCGACATCACCTCACCCAGTACTCCCAGCTTCACTTCTGCAATCACCACCACCGAGACCACCTCATACAGCACTCCCAGGTACACGTCCTTGATCTCCAAAACCGAGACCAACTCACATAGTACTCCCAGCTTCACTTCTTTGATCACCACCACAGAGACCTCCTCACACAGTACTTCCAGCTTCACTTCCTCGATAACCGCAACTGAGACCACCTCACACAGTACTCCCAGCTTCACTTCTTCGATTAGCACCACGGAGACGCACTCACAGAGTACTCCCAGCTTCACTTCTTTAAACACCACCAGCGAGACCCCCTCACACAGTACTCCCAGCTTCACTTCTTGAATCACCACCAACGAGACCACCTCACACATTTCACCCAGCTACATTTCTTCGATCGCAATCACTGAGAGCACTTCACAGAGTACTCCCAGCATCACTTCTTTGATCACCACTACCGAGACCACTTCACAGAGTACTTCCAGCATCACTTCTTCAATCACCACCACCGAGACCACCTCAAACAGCACTGCCAGCTACACTTCTTTTATCACCACAACCGATACCACCTCACACAGTATTCCCAGCTTCACTTCTTCAATCACCACCACTGAGACCCCCTCACACAGTACTTCCAGCTTCATTTCTTTGATCACAACAACAGAGACCACCCCACCCAGTACTCTCAGCATCACCTCTATGATCACCACCACCGAGACTACATCCCACAGCACTCCCAACTTCACTTCATTGATCACTACCAATGAGACCACCTCCCACAGCACTCCCAGCTTCACCTCTTCTCTCATCACCACAGAGACCACTTCTCACAGTACTCCCAGCTTCACTTCGTCGATCACCACCACTGAGACCACCCCACCCAGTACTCCCAGCATCACCTCTACGATCACGACCACCGAGACCACATCCCACAGCACTCCAAGCATCACTTCTTCAATCGCCACGACTGAGACCACCTCCCGCAGTACTCCCAGCTTTACTTCTTCAATCACCACCACAGAGACCACCTCACACAGTACTCCCAACTTCACTTCTTCAATCACCACCATGGAGACCCCCACACACAGTACTTCCAGCTTCACTTCTTCGATAACCACCTCTGAGACCCCACCACACAGTATTCTCAGCTTCACTTCTTCAATCACCATCAACGAGACCACCTCACACAGTACTCCCAGCTATACTACCTCAATCACCACTAGTGAGACCACCTTACACAGTACTCCCAGCTTCACTA